GACACGTATGGTATCGTGGTGCGTAAGAACAGACAATGAATTAGCAGCTGATGCAAATAATGTCCAGGTGACACAAAATGTTACATCGAGCCTGATGGAGCGAACGAACGAGGAACTTCGCAGACGAGGCGGTAAACAACACGTGACAAAAATTATCGATTCTTGACTTGGATCGCATCTCACGGGACCTCGACGTGTCATCGAATTTTGCCTCGTCGGACGGAGCCGTGAACTTGATGCATGGTCCACGAGATAAGAAGCGTCTATTTGTCGAGTAGGGGGGGTGGGTGGTTGGACGAGTGGCTGGAGTGGCTGGAGTGGTGGCGTGGTGGCGTAGCGCTGAACACACTGCACCCTGAACCCGGATACCCAGGATTCACAACTCTCCCGTGGCCATGGCTGACAGCGCTGCTGGTGAGTGATTATTGAACGGTCCTGAGCACCGGCGACCCGCGCTGATCATCACGGCGAGGTACGGCACGACGACCCGACCCGTGGCCCACGCGCGGCGTGGAAGAGGCACAACATCCAGCAACGGAGCGACGAAGAGGGCTGCTGTTACGTGAACACCCGGTCGTGTTTTCCGCTAACCGCTGGGCTCTCTGTTCTGCTGCTGCTGCTACTGCTGCTGCTACTACTACTGCTGCTGCTACTACTGCTGCTAGTACTGCTGCTGCTACTGCTGCTGCTACTGCTGCTACTGCTACTACTGCTGCTGCTGCTGCTACTGCTGCTATTGCTACTACTGCTGCTGTTGCTACTGCTGCTGCTACTGCTACTACTGCTGCTATTGCTACTACTGCTACTGCTGCTGTTGCTACTGCTACTACTGCTACTATTGCTACTACTACTGCTTCTGCTGCTATTGCTACTACTGCTGCTACTACTGCTGCTACTACTGCTGCTGCTGCTACTACTGCTACTGCTGCTACTACTACTGCTGCTGCTACTGCTGCTACTGCTACTACTGCTGCTCCTGCTACTTCTGCTGCTACTGCTACTACTGCTGCTGCTGCTACGTATGTTTCCGCGGTTGTGCGGTGCAGCTCTCGGGAGTTGTTTTGGTCGTTGTGAGGTTTGATTGTACCGGGTGTTGTAAGGGATAAGTACGCCGGTGTACATTTCCATAATAGAGGGGATTTTTTGCGTGGCGGGTGGGTGGGGGTGTTCGATGGGGTTAGATCGGGGTAAGTATAAATGCTGCCGTTGACCCCGTCGCCATCCGACACGGCCAATCCGTAAGGAGGTTTGTCACGTTAACAGAACGTGGCAATTCGTTACCAGTCCAGCATACGGGTTGTGTGTTGGAGAATAAACCCACAACCCGATTTAATCCCAAAACAAACTAAAAAACGCCTCTGTTGTGGATAACATTGGGTGCGAAAAGCCACGTGATTAACAGACGTGCATTTAAATTTTGATTTAAAGCTTTCGTGACTGCAGGGATTCATCTTCTTGGTTCTTTCGGTAAAGTCACGTAGAATGGAAATAATAAAATAATAAAAATAAACCAATAAAATAATTCTCACGACGTTTCGGCCACAACCTGAGGACGGCTGCTTGCGTTGTGGCCGAAACGTTGTGATAATTATTTTATTATGTTTTATTTTTATTATTTTATTATTTCCATTCTACGTGACTTTACCGAAAGAACCAAGAAGAGACGTGCATTTGTTCGGCGTGATGTCAAACGTTTCGCTCCACGTGCTGGTAGCTTATTCGGGAATTCAGTTCTTGTGAGAAAACTCATCAGGGAGCTTGGTTGGTGGTCCGTTCGATGTGTGCTTAGCAGTAGCAGGAGATGGGGAGGGAGAGGTGAGGGGATGGGGTTCGGGTTGACCACCTGCTTGGTGCACCACTTTAACAACCTTTAACTGTCTTTTTGGTTATTTCGGTAAAGTCACGTAGAATGGAAATAATAAAATAATCAAAATAAACCAATAAAATAATTCTCACGACGTTTCGGCCACGACAGACCTGTTCTACACCTGAGGACGGTTGCTTGCGTTGTGGCCGAAACGTCGTGAGAATTATTTTATTATGTTTTATTTTAATTATTTTATTATTTCCATTCTACGTGACTTTACCGAAAGAACCAAGAAGATGAATCCCTGCAGTCACGAAAGCTTTAAATCGAAACCTTTAACTGACCATTACGCACACCGCGTCAAACTCTTTGGTTCTTTCGGTAAAGTCACGTGGGTTAAATCGCGACGTTTCGATCGCGACACAAGAAATCATCATCAGGTGTGGAAGAGGCACAACATCCAGACTCCAATGTTAAAGTTTCCCATAGGCTCCAATGTTAAAGTCTTCTCCCATAGGTGTGGTTTTCACACCTGATGATGATTGCTTGTGTTGCAATCGAAACGTCGTGATTTAATTTACTATTATTATTATTTCTACCTACGTGACTTTACCGAAAGAACCAAAGAGTATGGATCCTTGCAGTCACGAAAACTTCAAATCTAGAATGACACCTCGTCAACCCACACGGTTTACCCCGTATTCTTGTACAGGCAAATTCAGTTCTCAGGGCCATACCCCGTACTGCCGTTTCAATACGGGCACATTTCTGTCTATTTGTTTGTGATTTTCCCTTGTGATGGGGCTTTGTAGGATGAACTTTGAGATGTATAAGGGGCACGGGGTGACCAATGAAGTCTGAATTCGTCTGTAATAGGGTAGGGCACTGATAAGGGGTTGACAGGTATGTAGTGGTGAGTGTTGTGGTGAGTATACTAGTGGGTACTAGTGGTGAGTGTACTAGTGTGGTGAGTCTACTAGTGGTGAGTGTAATAGTGGTGATTATTCATTTGTTTGTGTTTCTCCCTTTCGATGGAACTTTGTAGAATGAACGTTGAGATGTGTAAGGAGACGGGGTGACCAACAAGGTTTGAATTGGTCTGTAATAAGGTAGGGCACTGATTAGGGGTTGACAGGTATGTTAAAGTCTCCCATATACTCCAATGTTAAAGTCTCCCATAGACTGCAATGTTAAAGTCTCCCATAGACTCCAATGTTAAAGTCTCCCATAGACTTCAATGTTAAAGTCTCCCATAGACTCCAATGTTGAATTCTCCCATAGACTCCAATGTTAAAGTCTCCCATAGACTCCAATGTTAAAGTCTCCCATAGACTCCAATGTTAAAGTCTCCCATAGGCTCCAATGTTAAAGTCTCCCATAGACTTCAATGTTAAAGTATCCCATAGACTGTAATGTTAAAGTCTCCCATAGACTCCAATGTTAAAGTCTCCCATAGACTTCAATGTTAAAGTCTCCCATAGACTCCAATGTTGAATTCTCCCATAGACTCCAATGTTAAAGTCTCCCATAGACTCCAATGTTAAAGTCTCCCATAGACTCCAATGTTAAAGTCTCCCATATGCTCCAATGTTAAATTCTCCCATAGACTCTAATGTTAAAGTCTCCCATAGACTCCAATGTTAAAGTCTCCCATAGACTCCAATGTTAAAGTCTTCCATAGACTCAAATGTTAAATTCTCCCATTGACTCAAATGTTAAAGTCTCCCATAGACTCCAATGTTAAAGTCTCTACCCATAGACTCCAATGTTAAAGTCTCCCATAGGCTCAAATGTTAAAGTCTCCCATAGGCTCAAATGTTGAATTCTCCCATAGACTCCAATGTTAAAGTCTCCCATAGACTCCAATGTTAAAGTCTCCCATAGACTCCAATGTTAAAGTCTTCCATAGACTCAAATGTTAAATTCTCCCATAGACTCCAATGTTAAAGTCTCCCATAGACTCCAATGTTAAAGTCTCTACCCATAGACTCCAATGTTAAAGTCTACCATATGCTCAAATGTTGAATTCTCCCATAGACTCCAATGTTGAAGCATACCTGTCAACCCATACAGTTTACCCGGTATTCTTGTACAGGGAAATTGAGATTTTAGGTCCACAAGGCCGTTTTAATACGGGCAATAAAATGTCTTATTTGTTAGTGTTTCTCCCTTGTGATGGGACTTTATAGGATGAACGTTGATATTTATAATGAGCACGGGGTAACCAATAGGGTCTGAATTGGCCTGCAATAAGGTAGGCACTGATAGTAAGGGGTTGACTGGTATGAGTATGGTCATGTAAGGTCTGTTATCCTACAAAGCCACGTGTTGTTTTCATAACGCCAAATTTGGATGTAACCCCATGAATGTGTCGGAACACATTTTTGCATAGCGCCGACACGAAGTGGATATTCACGGGATCTGAGTGAACGGAGCTACGTCGCGTGAGTAGGAATAAGCTGTTGTACGGCTACGTCGGCGTAGCGTCACGCGAGGCAGGATGCTGCTGGATACTTCTAGACGCTACCCGCGCGCCCCAGTCTTTGTTCGGCCTGCGTACGCATCTCACGTGTTATCACGGACCGTACTTTAGCCAATATTATTAATTTATAACGCAGATTTTTCCATAATGCGGTGTTCTTCGGGAATGTAACGACTACCGCGTTATAGCAGAACATGCTGTGTATGGTCAACAAAGCCATGGGGAGCGTGGGAAGGCCTTCATTCAGCAGTGGACTGGCAAGTGCTGTCCGTGGTGGAACAGCACTTGCCCCATCGTTCTGCTGGGCTATACAAATAATGACGGCGTACCGGAGCACATTTCGTATTGATATTCGTGCCATTCTCCTAGCGCATGGCTATCGCGAAGGTGCTGCGTTTCACAGGTGATATCGTCTGCCAGGGGGGTCAGCGATACTGCTGTGTGTGTGATCCCAACTCAGCAATTTGCAGGTAATTTTTTGACGTACTTTGGACCGTTACGATGGCTCGTTTCCAACGACGTCGGAGGATCTTTAACAGTGTTCTACGGTTAATACGTCCGCAGTAATAACCGGGGAGAGCCGCCGGATTCGAACAACGAACCACAGCTGTACCGTGACACACTGCTCCCCCCGATACGGGTGATCCTGGCCTCCTTTGTCTTCCTCCTTTTAACCCGTCGGCGGCCTCCGTTCGCTTTTGTGCCGAGCAGGAGGAGGAGGAGGACACGGCGGAGGAAGAGGCGCGGTGGAGGGGGTCAGGGTCCGGGTCGGCCACGTCTGTCCCGGCTCCGCGTCGGCCGCGATGGCTTCGGCCGCGGAAGCGAAGTCCTTCCCACGGAAGGATCAGCCGGATCCAGGCGGAGTGACCGCCGCTGAGATGGGACCTCTGCTGCCGGGACGCACCGTGAGTCGCCGGGAGCTGGCAGTGGCCGTGGGTGTCGGGGCGGCACATGTCACTGTGTTCAGTTGTCGGGTCCGCCTTCGCTAACCCGCAGTGACCAACGTGGTGAAGGATAGCCCGGTAATCCTCTGGACCAACTTGGCGTGGGGAGGCGTTCAATCCGACAGAGAGACGCTTGCGTGGAAACTGTCCACAACGGCCACATGGGCAGACACCCTGGGCAGTCGGACCGCCAGGCAAGCGGCAACACACAGATGCACCAATAGCCGCAGAGAAACACACAGATACACACAGATACAAATATCCCTCGTACAGCCTTTAACAGACTGTTGGGGCGAGTGCTGTTAGCAAGCACCGAATGAAGGCCGGCACACGTGGTGGGGGTGGGTGGCCAGCACCATGCCCGGCCATCTTTGTCTTCATAAGTGGAGATACTCTTAGTTTTTTCGGTAAAGTCACGTAGGTAAAAAAATGAAATTTAAATTAATTATTTTTTATTAATTTTAATTTCATTTTTTTACCTACGTGACTTTACCGAAAAAACTAAGAGTATGAATCCTTGCAGTCATGAAAGCTTCAAATCTAGAATAAGTGGAGATGTTTACACACCGCACCAGGTGCTCATTTGAGGCTAAGTAGACCTCAGGGAGGCCCAGGACCGGTTCAGATAATCGCCAATGGTGTTGGCCGTGAGAGGGAATTGAACTCGGGGGGCTGGGTTCGTAGCGCAGGGCGCTAATCGCTACAATCTACCGCTCCCCACCATCACACAGCCACGTGTACAGCAACATGGACAGATACATAGACCATCATACAGACAGCCACACAGCCAAATGGAGAGCCACAAACGCAGCCACACAGGTGCACAGATACGTACAAACAAGAAAAAGCGCAAACGTCTGGGCTTTGTGTCAACACTTGGCGTCGCTTAGGTGGTTTCAGACTTGGCGAAACAACTGTTTGAACATCACGCGATTTAAATAGAGCTTTGTGTCACCCCGCAGTGTGAATAAGGTGCAAAATAACGCTCTCCCGTTGGCAGCGGAGCATGCAAATGCATTCAGAGGAGAGGGTGTCATCTTCTTGGTTCTTTCGGTAAAGTCACGTAGAAGGAAAATATGTTTTATTTTTTATTATTTATTATTTTCCTTCTACGTGACTTTACCGAAAGAACCAAGAAGGAGAGGGTGTTTTTTGTATCTCGGCGCTGCGCTGCGATGTCTTGCAATGTGCCAGTCCGGTCCTTCTACCAATCCCCTGCTGGGTTTATGGCCTCCCCAAGCCAAGTAGGCCGTGAGCGATATTTGACCATGCTTTCCCCGCGCTGCTCAGTGTGGGTTGGCGAAGGCATAGATGTGTGCGCATACGAGTACAGTACAGTTTTACTGGTACGAACCTCCTGGTTACACCAGCCCACAGGGGATTATTGTGTCCGTCGTGCAGGGAGGGGCTGGGTGGGGAGGGAGGGGCTGGGTGGGGAGGGGCTGGTTGGGGAGGGTTGGGGTGGGGAGGGGAGGGTGGGGAGGGGCTGGGTGGGGAGGGTGGGAAGGGTGGGGCTGGGTGGGGAGGGGCTGGGTGGGGAGGGGCTGGGTGGGGATGGGAGGGGTGGGGCTGGGTGGGGGGTGGGAGGGGTGGGGCTGGGTTGGGAAGGGCTGGTCACCCCGTGGTGCCCTTATAAAACTCAACGTTTAACCTACTCACGCCGGCTTGTGCCCGCCCTCACAGTCGGGGAATACACCACGCCGCCGTTGACCCTGGCCATTGACCGAGCAACCCAACGTTCTTACCAGCTCCCTCCGCAGGAGTGCGTTTCGATGGATTTCGCTGCACTGCAAACAATGCCCCGTTAACACAATTGCAGCGTGGTTTGGTAAAAAGGCTAAGCTGGTCTTTAAACGACGAATTTAAACAAATGTATGCCATATGCTCCCATTCTATAATGGGCACCACGTGTGTTTATCAACGGGAATACGTATATAATTAGCGGTAATGTATAATTAGCGATGATGATGATGATGTATAGACGCAGACACATGTTCTTGCTTACTACGAGCCTTTAATTTTGGACGCAACACGAATTCTAGGCCCAGGCTTAAACTTCATCCTCTCTCCAACCGTCCCCTCCCCTCGTGCTGTCCCCTTTTATATCCCTCAAGTTCAAGTTCATTTATTAGGTGTAGCCCTGTGAGCCATTCGGCTCTTGAATCGGGTGCAACCGCAACAAACAAAAAACATGAACAAGAAAACATCTTAAAGTGAATATGTGACTAAGTGCAAACAGAAAATCGAAGAAATGACAGCAAAATATTGCAGAAAAAGCACCGTACATCAACGCTGTGTGCAAAAATCCCAGTGGGATGCAAGTCAAACAACAACAACAACAACCACAAGACAACTTAGATTAAGGCCATCAGTCTAACTCTGTACTACAACAAACAAACATGGCCAAACCAGTAAACTTTTCGAAATCACCAAAATAAAGGCCCCTTTCTCGAACGTTCGCTCACCGCCACTCCCCGCACCCAGTCCTCCTCCTTCCAGAACGGTTGTCAAGAGTCACCCCCGACAGTCCACCCTCGTTTTCACCGCCTTCTTACCTTCGAATTTTCCTTCCAATCACTTAAATTCTGAGACCTCCCTTGCCAGTATCAAAATATAAGAATAAGTTATATCCTATCTGGCCATCATAAAGCGGTTGTGTTAAGATGTTCACACACCAGACGGAAACCTTTTGCAAGGAATCGTGTCCGCATTAACCACACGTACTTGTGGTGAACATGCAACAACAACAAAAACATGCTCCGGTAGTATATGATGCATTGTCTTTGAAACTGATTGGTCCACACCAGAGACAGCTTTCTTTGGAGCCGCTGCTCACCCCGAGCTCTCACTCCTGTCCTTCTCATCTCGCTCTGCTCCCCTCAATCTCCCACCTCTCTGCACCCATCTCGCTCTCTGTCTTCTCATCTCATGCTAGGCCACTCCACACCAGAGGTCGCAAACGGGTTTTGATTCCTTACCCGTACTCGGCCGCACCAGGGTCGCAAACGGGTACCCGATACCCGTACCCTACCCGATACCCGGCTACCCGTACCCGGCCGGGTATCGTGCAGGGTACGGGTATCGGGTACCCGATTGCAACCTCTGGGATGAAGCCATGTTGCAGGCGCGGGTGGGTTGATTCTAGGAACTTGAATTGTGAGAAGAGACAAGACGTTGGGAAATGAGTGACAAACAGTTACTCACCGGTGACTCACGGCCTACCCGTACCCGGCCGCACCAGGGTCGCAAACGGGTACCCGTACCCGGCCGGGTACGGGTAGCCGGGTATCGGGTAAGGTACGGGTATCGGGTACCCGATTGCGACCTCTGCTCCACACAGACTTTCCTACAGCTCCCCGCTCATCATCTCACTCTACCGCCCTTCCCACATCCTCTACACTCCGGCAACCAGCCTTTTTATAATGGAAGTCCAACAGTCAACCTTCGATTAGTGGGAAGTTGCTTATTCCCATCTGCTACCCTCATTTCTGGAAATGGATTTCTCCAGCCATCCGTACTATCTACTCCCTACCTCAAGTCCAAACTAAAGTACTTCCTTTTTTCACAATGACTCGCCGCCTTCGTGCACATATTAAATAAATAAGCCCACGGTTTCTGTACAGTTTCTTCAGATGTGGTCACATTTTGACACTATCCGAAACCAAAATGTGTGGTCATTTTCAATGTACGGAGACCCCCAGACTCACATAGAGCCCATAGACTCACACAGACTCGTAGACTCACGTAGAGACCAATAGAGTCAAATAGAGACCCAAAGACTAACATAGAGATCCATTTACAGTACAATACTCACACGAGACTCGTATAAGTGTGCTGAGGCTTTTGGCACGAACTTTCATACAGAAATTCGTAGCAGCAGCATCAGCAACGCCCAACCGTGGACTTTCGCCCGATAAAAGATTGTGCGGTGCTTGTGAAATTGATGTTGTTCCCTGTAAATCCTCTGCTAGGCGGACATGCGGGGGGGGGGGGGGGCTCTGGTCTGGACCGCTGAAAAGTCCGGCAAGCCGCTACACTCAGTTTAACACGCCGTAGTAGTAGTAGTGGTAGCGGTAGTGGCAGTAGTGGTAGTAGTGGTAGTAGTGGTGGTAGTAGTGGTAGCGGTAGTAGCGGTAGTGGCGGTAGTGGTAGTTGTAGTAGTGGTAGTCGTGGTGGTAGTAGTGGTGGTAGCGGTAGTAGCGGTAGTGGCGGTAGTGGTAGTAGTAGTGGGCTTTCGAGACAAATATCATCCATAATAACAGGTTTTTTGGGTTAGATCGGGGTAAATATAAATGTGTCGTTAAACCCGCCACCACCCGACACAGCCAAATTGGTAAGGTTTGTCACGTAAACAGAACGTGACCAATTCGTTACGAGCAGAGCACCACACCGGTGTGTCGGAGAGCAAATCCACAACATTAAAATCGACGTAAAACAACACAACAATAACACCACGCCTTTGTTGCTATATATGTATGACCGTAAATGTTTTAGGGTCTGTAGTGTGTGTTATTGTACAGACCAACACGTAAAATGCTGTATGGCAATTATGTATTGTCCAGTCCGCGTGAACGCTGGTCCCCCCCCTACCACCCCTCCCCACCACCCCCCACCACCCCTCCCCTATCCCCCCCTCCCCACCACCCCCCACCACCCCTCCCTATCCCCCCCTCCCCACCACCCCACCACCCCTATCCCCCCTCCACCACCCCCACCACCCCTCCCCCCACCCCCACCACCCTCCCTATCCCCCCTCCCACCACCCCCACCACCCTCCCCACCACCCCCCACCCCCCCCCCTATCCCCCCTCCCACCACCCCCCACCACCCCCCCCTATCCCCCCTCCCCACCACCCCCACCACCCCTCCCCTATCCCCCCTCCCCACCACCCCCCACCACCCCTCCCCTATCCCCCCTCCCCACCACCCCCACCACCCCTCCCCTATCCCCCCCTCCCCACCACCCCCACCACCCCTCCCCTATCCCCCCTCCCACCACCCCCCACCACCCCTCCCCACCACCCCCCCACCCTCCCCTATCCCCCCTCCCACCACCCCCCACCACCCCTCCCCTATCCCCCCTCCCCACCACCCCCACCACCCCTCCCCTATCCCCCCTCCCCACCACCCCCCACCACCCCTCCCCTATCCCCCCCTCCCCACCACCCCCACCACCCCTATCCCCCCTCCCACCACCCCCCACCACCCCTCCCCTATCCCCCTCCCACCACCCCCCACCACCCCTCCCCTATCCCCCCTCCCCACACCCCACCACCCCCCCCTATCCCCCCCCCCACCACCCCCACCACCCTCACCTATCCCCCCTCCCCACCACCCCCCACCACCCCTCCCCTATCCCCCTCCCCACCACCCCCCACCACCCCTCCCCTATCCCCCCTCCCCACCACCCCCCACCACCCCTCCCCTATCCCCCCCTCCCCACCACCCCCACCACCCCTCCCCTATCCCCCCTCCCACCACCCCCCACCACCCTCCCCACCACCCCCACCACCCCTCCCCTATCCCCCCTCCCACCACCCCCCACCACCCCTCCCCTATCCCCCCTCCCCACCACCCCCACCACCCCTCCCCTATCCCCCCCTCCCCACCACCCCCCACCACCCCTCCCCTATCCCCCCTCCCCACCCACCCCCCACCACCCCTCCCCTATCCCCCTCCCCACCACCCCCCACCACCCCTCCCCTATCCCCCCCTCCCACCACCCCCACCACCCCTATCCCCCCTCCCACCACCCCCCACCACCCCTCCCACCACCCCCACCACCCCTCCCCTATCCCCCTCCCACCACCCCCCACCACCCCTCCCCTATCCCCCCTCCCCACCACCACCCCTCCCCTATCCCCCCTCCCCACCACCCCCCACCACCCCTCCCCTATCCCCCCTCCCCACCACCCCCCACCACCCCTCCCCACCACCCCCACCACCCCTCCCCTATCCCCCCTCCCCACCACCCCCACCACCCCCTACCACCCCCTCCCCACCACCCCCCACCACCCCCTACCACCCCCTCCCCACCATCTCCCACCACCCCTTCCCTATCACCCCCTCCCCACGATCCCCACCACTAGCAATTAGCCTAAAGTACATTTACACATTTCTACATTATACACAATATATAACGTATACCCAGTGCTTGTGTACTATACGTTACATGACGTATTTAACGTAATACAGTATGTCCATGTCCTATTATATTGACTATCTCTTTGCATCCCACTTACATTTTAGATTATTTATATTTTTCAACTACCCAACCAGTCGAAAAATAGTTAGCATCTCGCCACCGTGACGCCTCCAGTGGAGGGCCTTCTGCCAGCGGTGGTACGAGCGAGGCATTTCAGGGCTGAACCTTTACCAATCTGCGGGTGTGCAGGATGCGCGGACGACTTCTGGTGGAGCCACTGAGGAGGAAGAAGAGGAGGAGGAGGAGGTTCCGCTGAGAGTCATCACGCTGCCCGAGCAGGCCCACCACGCCATGGAGAAGATGGAAGAGTTTGTGTACAAGGTACGTGTGTGTGTGTGTGTACGTTGCACTTCTTTCACGCCGTACGTAGCCGACCGTGTTCATCGGACGTGCGGGGGAAGGACAACAAACTATGTACAGATAAATTTCGATTTAAAGCTTTCGTGACTGCAGGGATTCATCTTCTTGGTTCTTTCGGTAAAGTCACGTAGAAGGGAAATAATAAAATAATAAAAATAAAACATAATAAAATAATTCTTCACCTGAGGACGGCTGCTTGCGTTGTGGCCGAAACGTCGTGAGAATTATTTTATTATGTTTTATTATTTTATTATTTCCATTCTACGTGACTTTACCGAAAGAACCAAGAATATGTACAGATAGTCCCCGAGTCACGATGGTCCGACTTGCGATAGTTCGATCTTACGATGGCAGGCAAACGCAGCAGCATACGAATCTTGGTGAGTGTAGTACAATATGATACATTACAATACGTTCAATGCATGTATGATACGTAGCTTTAGCGATTTCATTTTAGGGTTACCACGATACGATACGTTCAATGCATGTATGATACGTAGCTTTAGCGATTTTATCTTAGGGTTACCATGATTACGATACGTTCAATGCATGTTAAAAGTTTTTATAGCAGATAGGATTGTTTCCTGAAAAAACTTTTGATTAAATTTCAGTTCATATTGGTAGGCCAAGAATTTACCTTGTTTTTGTTACTTTACATTTTACTGTGCAATACAGTATTGTAATTAGTAAATACAAACAGTATATAGTTTATACAGTACGCTACTGTAAATTGCTCTGTTCTGCTAAATTATCACCATTCTTTAAGACTCCTGGGTAGGCTAGGCCATCTTCGACTTACGATTTTTTCGACTTACGATGGGGTCGTCGTAACGCATCTCCGTCGTAAGTAGAGGACTTACCTGTATGTTGAACTTCTTTCACACCGTACGTAGCCGCCCGTGATAATGGCAGGTAGGTGCGGGGGAAGGACAAAGCTGCCACGCTTCTGAGAGACTCAACCACGACTCATGAAGAGTCCCTCTCATCCCTCACACTCTCAGCACCGCCCACAAGAAAAAGACTAAGATCCCCCGTGTAGCCTCAACAGACTGTTGGGGCAAGTGCTGTTAGCGAGCGCCTATGAAGGTCGGCACGGCACACGAGGGGGTGGGTGGCCAGCACCACGCCTGGCCGCCTTTGTCTCCCCAGTGGCGATGTTTACACACCGCACCAGCTACTCATTTTAGGCTAAGTTGACCTCCTATTACATTGCCACGCTCGCTCAACTTACTACCCCACCTCCATGCTCTTTCTGATGTGCCTACGAGCATATTTAGTGGCCACTCCATATGCTCATAGGCGCTGCCCACTCCTCTGCATCCCGGCTAGCTCTGCCCCGCTGCATCATGGGTCGCGCACGAGGGCAGAATGATTTTTCACGGAGATTTAAAAAAAATCTCTCGAATTTCACAAAAACCCGTGGACATCGGTCGCAGTGTCTGCCGCGTAAGTGACGGCATTTTCTGCGTGATTATCATCGTCGTCGTCATCAACGTTGTTATCATCGGTATCGTTTTAATTATCATTATCACCGTCATCATCATCATTACTCTCATCGTCGTCGTCATCAACGTTGTTATCATCATCGGAACCATATTAATCATCATCATTATCACCGTCATCATCATCATTACTCTCATCATCATCATCACGATTGTCGCCGCGATTATCGTCATCGCTGCCTCTTGTTTATTTTACACTTTTTTTTCTCTGCCAAAAGGTCGTGGCTTCCGAAACGTGCAGCTGCCTTGCCCGTCTTTTGACCCAGAAGTCCCCGTTATAGCAACGTGGGAAGTGGTTGTTTACAGTGGGAATCATCAACTGGGCACAGCTGAACAATAGCGGGGGGGGGGGGGGCCGTGTGAGCAGCTACAAACACAAGCGGAATTGCAGCGTAAACGAATGCAAGTCGATTACCCATTGTTTTTGGTGGGTGGAGGGGGGGGGGGTCAGGAGGCAGTCATAACAAGAGAGGTGGAGGTCAATATTTACACTGGGATATTTGCACACAGCGTTGGTGTACGGTGATTTTTCTGCAATATTTTGCTGTCTTTTCTTGGATTTTCTGTTTGCACATAGTCACTTTAAGATGTTTTCTTGTTCATGTTTTTTTGTTTGTTGCGGTTGCACCCGATTCAAGAGCCGAATGGCTCACAGGGCTATACCTAATAAATGAACTTTGAACTTTACCAAAGGTCACTGAGGTTGGTTACATAGGTTTGTAGGTCGGCTCAACCTCAAATGAGTACCTGGTGTGGTATGTAAACATCAACACTGGGGAGACAAAGGCGGCTGCGGTGCGGTGATGGCCGCCCACCCCCTCGTGTGCCGTGCCGGCCTTCGTAGGTGGTCCTCGCTAACAGCACTTGCCCCAATAGCCTCTTCAGGCTGTACGGGGGATCTTTGTCTTTGTATCGGGAGAGATCGTCCACTAATCTTCTTGGTTCTTTCGGTAAAGTCACGTAGAAGGGAAGTAATAAAATAATAAAAATAAAACATAATAATATAACATAATAATATAATATTATTTTATTAATAAAAATAAAACATAATAAAATAATATAATAAAATAATATTATATTATTTTATTATGTTTTATTTTTATTGTTTTATTACTTCCCTTCTACGTGATTTTACCGAAAAGAACCAAGAAGATGAATCCCTGCAGTCACGAAAGCTTTAAATCGAAAATCAAAAGCGATTTGCGACGAGTCGAATGACCGAGGAGCGTTTTTGGAAGCGGTTGGAATTGCCAGCGTCTGTTTCTTGTGTAGAGGTGTTACGGGAGGGCGAACAAACACACCAGGGGTGGTTATGCCCGCACGCGGAAGGATGCTTAAACGGCGCTGTGATCCCCCAAGGCCCCACCCCTCGGTGGGGGAGTTGCTATATAAGGCGGTGAGCCGGTGGGCTCGGGGTTCACTGTTTAGCTTAAACCAGCGAAGAAGGAAGACCGGCTAGATAGGCCCTGGGACTCCCCTGGATCGCTGTCCTTCTAAGGAGCGACCAGGGCAAGCCAGTGGCGTGGCCCCGAGAGCCCAGAGCCGATGCTCTTGTAAGAGCCGGTCTGGGGACTCAGGGTGCCGTGATCCCAGCTTGGCCAGAGCTGGATCAGCTAGCCTCCCCTAGCTCTGTAGTGGAGGACCTGGGATTAGGCTAGCCGGGATAGAGATTGTGGGATCTCCCTGTTAGGCAGGTGAAGGGGCCGGTCTGGTGACTCAGGGTGCCGTGATCCTAGCTTGGCCAGAGCTGGATCAGCTAGCCTCCCCTAGCTCTCGAGTGGAAGACCTAGGAGTAGGCTAGCCGGGATAGAGATCGTGGGATCTCCCTGTTAGACGGGTGAAGGGGCTGATACCCCTTCGAGTGTCGTATTCCTTGGCCTGTATATAGTGGAACGTTTAATAAAGAAGTGTGCCTCCGACTACGTCGTCCAAGTCTCTTTGAACCTACTACACTTGTGTGAACCCATCCACGGCGCAGGTGTGGGAACGGCGCTGGCAGGTCATCCCGTTCGACCTGCTGCCCAGCTGGCTCCAGGACAACGATTACCTCCTGCAGGGCCACCGGCCGCCCATGCCGTCGTTCCGCGCCTGCTTCAGCAGCATCTTCCGCATCCACACGGAGACCGGCAACATCTGGACGCACCTCATCGGTGAGAGAAGGTTTGCGCGAATCGCGGCACCAGGATCGCGGCGATGGCTTTGCCGTCTTTTCTTGGATTTTCTGTTTGCACATAGTCAATCTGAATTTGGAGCTTTCGTGACTGCAGGAATTACTCTTTTGTTCTTTGGGTAAAGTCACGTATAAAGATAAAATAATAAATTAAATGATAGCATACGACGTTTCGATTGCAACACAAGCAATCGTCATCAGGTATAAATGAAATAGCAACAAACATCTAACCAGAAAACTATAGACGGATATCTGTCTGCTTATATGTCTGCCTATAGTTTTGTGGTTCTATTTTTGTTGCTATTTCATTTATACCTGATGATGATTGCTTGTGTTGCAATCGAAACGTCGTAGTATGCTATCATTTAATTTATTATTTTATCTTTATACGTGACTTTACCGAAAGAACCAAAGTGCACATAGTCACTTTAAGATGTTTTCTTATTCATGTTTTTGTTTTTTGTTTGTTGCGGTTGCACCCGATTCAAGAGCCGAATGGCTCACAGGGCTCTATACCTAATGAACTTGAACTTGACGATGTCTTTGTACGTTTGTTCGAGACGCAGGGGTGTCGCGAATGTGATTTGTTTTACAGACGCAGCCTTGCAGTGGTTTAGCAGCAGGGGGCGATGCTGCTACGTGTAAGGAGTGTTTTGCTGGTGGTTTTTTGTCGTTGCAAATTTGGAACGTGAGGCTTGCATACAATGGCCTATGTGTGTGTGTGTCTCTCTCTGTGTGTCTCTGTGTTATCTCTCTGTGCTTATGTGTCTGTCTGTGTGTGTCTGTGTTGTCTCTTTGTGCTTGTGTGTCTGTCTGTGTGTCTCTGTTGTGTCTCTCTCTGTGTGTCTGTGTTGTGTGTCTGTCTCTGTGTCTGTGTTATCTCTCTGTGCTTGTGTGTCTGTCTGTGTGTCTATGTATGAGTCTCTCTCTGCTTGTGTGTCTGTCTGTGTGTGTCTGTGTTGTGTGTCTCTCTCTCTGTGTGTCTGTGTTGTCTCTCTCTGTGTGTGTGTCTGTCTGTGTGTCTATGTTGTGTGTCTCTCTCTGTGTGTCTCTGTGTGTGTCTCTCTGTGTGTGTGTCTATGTTGTGTGTCTCTCTGTGTGTCTCTGTGTTATCTCTCTGCGTATATGTCTGTCTGTGTGTCTCCGTGTCTGTGTTTTGTCTCTCTCTCTCGAATTTAGCAATCTTTGGAAGAACGTAATCAACCAGGTAGGGTGTTGACTGTTATGTTAGCCGACTCTCTGTGTCGTAAGTTTACTAGGTTTGTTTTCTCTTTCATTTCTACCTGATGATGATTGCTTGTGTTGCAATCGAAACGTCGTATGCTGTTCTTTGATAAAGAAAAATATTTCTACGTGACATTACCCAAAGAACCAAAGAGTAGTTTCTGCAGTCATGAAAGCTCCAAGTCAGGTTTTAATGGCCTACCCATTTCGAATGGCGTAAGGGGATCGTTACCGTCCTACTGTGAAGAAGGTTAAATTCTAGATTTTAAGCTTTCGTGTCTGCAAGGATTCATATTCTTAGGTTTTTTTGGTAAAGTCACGTAGGTAAATTTTTTTTTAAATTAATAAAAGTAAAATAACAAAAATATTTTATTTTACTTTTATTATTTTTTTACCTACGTGACTTTACTGAAAAAAACCTAAGAATAAGAAGGTTCAAGTTAGGCCTCGGGCTTTGTGGTTAGGTCAGGGGTCGGCAACCCACGGCTGCGGGGCCGCGTGCGGTGGCTCTTGAAGGACTGCAGAGGCCGCTCTTGAAATTCTAAACAAATGGCTCTTCTTGTTATTGTGGGTGCCGACCCCTGACCATGGAAGCCGAGTTTACCATGGGAGTCCAGTTTACCATGGGATTTCAGTTTACCATGGGAGTCCAGTTTACCATGGGATTTAAGTTTACAATGGGAGTCCAGTTTACCATGGGAGTTCAGTTTAACATGGAAGTTCAGTTTAACATGGGAGTCCAGTTAACCATCGGAGTCCAGTTCACCATGGGAGTCCAGTTTACCATGGAGGTCCAGTTTACCATGGGAGTCCAGTTTACCATGGAGGTCCAGTTTACCATGGGAGTCCAGTTTACCATGGAGGTCCAGTTCACCATGGGAGTCCAGTTTACCATGGGAGTCCAGTTCACCATGGAGGTCCAATTTACCATGGGAGTCCAGTTTACCATGGAGGTCCAGTTCACCATGGGAGTCCAGTTTACCATGGGAGTCCAGTTTACCATGGAGGTCCAGTTTACCATGGGAGTCCAGTTTACCATGGAGGTCTAGTTTACCATGGGAGTCCAGTTTACCATGGAGGTCCAGTTCACCATGGGAGTCCAGTTTACCATGGGAGTCCAGTTTACCATGGAGGTCCAGTTTACCATGGGAGTCCAGTTTACCATGGGAGTCCAGTTTACTATGGAAGTCCAGTTTACCATGGGAGTCCAGTTTACCATGGAGGTCCAGTTTACCATGGGAGTCCAGTTTACCATGGGAGTCCAGTTTACCATGGAAGTCCAGTTTACCAGTAGGTACACAAAAATCTGTCAAAACTTGACCCCTCCCCCGTCCCTGTACGCACGCTTGACGCACCCCCCCCCCCCCCCCCCCGAATCCTATAGAACGGCCGATATTTAATCCACACAGAAACGATCAAGGATTAATAATATTAACGTGTTTTAGCAAACAGACAGTCCACCGCCGGCTGCATTTAAATAATTAAGTTGCGTACCATTCAAAAGGTGACGGCGTACTGTCGGAGTTTCGTGACCACGCGCAGTGTCAGGCTGCAGCACAGCGGCGTTAGCTGCCGCCTGCTGGGCCACCGCCTCAGGATCATCCACAGCGTCGCTGACGTCGTCGTCGTCATCATCATCATCATCATCCAGCTTTTGGTTGTTCTCACTGTCAGAAGGCTCTGTCGTGTGAATGCGCTGGTGTCGTTTGGCACTGGCCTGCGACGAGTGATGCTACACGCCGTGCACGGGACATGTGCGCTTGATAATTATTTCAGGTTGTGCGAGTGACGGACAGCGCATTATCAAATGTCCGCGCATCAGCAGCACAAACAGATTCACGGCTAAAACCTTGAGCCAGCGGCAGTCTGTGGAGAGGCCAGATTGAAGGATGTGTCATCCATGGGGCAGGCCGCCAGACTGTGAGACTCGCTGCTGAGCTGCGTGACAGCTGCAATCAGGGGTACGGTGGCATACAAGTGTAGTGACTGTCACTGTGTGGTGCCGGGCTTGCGAGGCCGCGGCGGATAATACGTTGCCATTACGTGCAGCCCGGTTACTGGGCGTAGTAGCACCAGCCCTAGCGGGGCTTGGGTGAGGCACCACGTACGGTGTGTGCGGTGCGGGCTCCCGGTGAGGGAGCGAGAGAGAGCGTCATCCAGCCAGGGTTACGTTGGGGCACGATAACGCCGGTTGACCTGCCGACACGTGACCGGATGGTATTGGAGGGGGGCCACCGGTGGACGGGGGGCCGCTGGGCGGTCACGTGGTGTAGAGGAGCTCTCGGGAGCCTTTGGGAAGGAGCTCGAGAGAGATCTAGAAGGTGGGCGGGGCGAGGGGCGGAGCCGGCCCCAGCACGGGCCGATATCATGGGGGCGTCCCCGCGAGAGGCGAGCGGTTTACACCATTGGAACCTCATTTGCCAGTAAAAAAATATGATAATTGGTTTTTTACCCTTTTATCTGGCAACAAAACTGACACCTTTTTACGAGGAGTCATGTTTGCATAGACCACGATACCTGCAGTCATAATGCAAACAAAAAACATAACTCTGATAATTTATGCACTTTCCTTGAAGTTGATTGGTCCACACCCGAGACAGCTTTCCTTAGAGCCTAGTCTCACATGGTGTTGGACCAGATGACGCCAAAAGGCGCCTTTTGGCGTCATCTGGTCCAACACCATGTGAGACTAGGCTCTAAGGAAAGCTGTCTCAAGGACAGTGCATACATGATCATAGTTATGCTTTTTGTTTGTATTATGACTGCAGGTATTGCGATCTATGCAAACATGACTCCTCGTAAAAAAGGTGTCAGTTTTGTTGCCAGATAAAAGGGTAAAAAACCAATTATCAGGCTCGGGGTTCTTCGTGTTGCTGGTGATGAAGATCTACGTCGGGTTCAAGAAGCCTCTAGCCACGCGGTCAGGGACCCAGCTCGCGGTGCGGACCGTGATAGCGAGACCGTGTCTCGCTCTGTCGTAGCGTGGTCAGGTGGGCGTTCGACACCCGAGTGTAGGGTGACGATGGTGCCGCTCCCCCACGCCCCGCTCCAACAGGCTTCGTGCTGTTCCTGTCGCTGGGCGTGGTGTACATGCTGCGCCCCAACATGGCGTTCGTGGCGCCGCTGCAGGAGAAGGTGGTGTTCGGCGCGTTCTTCGTGGGCGCCGTGCTCTGCCTGTGCTTCTCCTGGCTCTTCCACACCGTCTACTGCCACTCGGAGAAAGTCTCGCGCACCTTCTCCAAGTGAGTGGCGCGCGAGGGCGCGGGCTGACGGGCACGAGCTCGCGGCCAGCAAAAAACTAAAATCTTGGGCGCCGCGGTTGGAGAGATGTTAGTTTGACACGTGCAAGGTTTTCGCGACCAATATTATTCATAATCAACGTTTTTGGGTTTAGATGGCGTTATTTATAAATGTGTCATAACCCTCCACCACCCGACACGGCCATTCAGTAAAAAAGTGTCACGTTGACAAAAGACAAATAGTTCACTGCTTTAGCCCACCGGTGTGTTGAAGCGTGAAGCCACAACATTTACAATTTGAGTAGTACGACGTTTCGCTGGTAATTGCATCCAGCATCATCGGGCAATTCGCCAGAATGGTCAGGCTCTGCTGTGTCTCCCGTTCTTATATAGAGCAGCAGCAGCAGGGTGACGTCATCATTAACTCATTAACTCATCAGGTGCAACGATTTGAGAGGGGGGGGGGTTATTGTAATTATATACTAGATTAGTAATCAGGCAGTTAAATTCATATGAATTCATTGGTTGTGAAAACCTACGTAAGAAGGAAGGCCTACCTTACAGGTCGTGGTAGCTCATTCCCGGAGTCGATGCTCTACCACAGCGGCCTTCATAGCAAGGCCTTCCGCGGGCCACTGGCGGCCTTTAGTGCGGCCCCTGACGTGCAGCCCCCGACAATACACAACTTGTGAGAACACCCCCCACGATCATCGTGATGCTGTCCGAACCCCAATGCTTTCAAACGGTGTGACGGCTCTCGCACACGGACCGATGTCTTATCGGCCAAAGTGCCCCCCCCCCTCTGAAATTCAATGAAGAATCCCGCTCTGCTCAGCACACGATCGCGTGCCGTTATGATTGTAAAGAACTTCGGACGAGGTGAGTTTCGCTCGACTTCGTGGTTTATTCACAGGTCACCTACAAACGCATGGAGGCCACACTTTTCGAGGCTTCCCTCCAGAATGCGCGCCCGGCTCTCTCTCTCTCTCGGCCCCCTTGTACATCCTGAACTCCCCTTTCTCGCAGGTTCTCCTCTCTCTTCCAATCCCCTTTGTCCTTTTCCAACGGTTATCAACCGTTCCTTATTCATTACTTTAATCTTTCGATTTAAAGCTTTCGTGACTGCAGGGATTCATCTTCTTGGTTCTTTCGGTAAAGTCACGTAGAAGGGAAGTAATAAAATAATAAAAATAAAACATAATAAAATAATTCTCACGACGTTTCGGCCACAACGCAAGCAGCCGTTCTCAGGTGAAACCAGGTCTGTCGAGGCGACAGCGTCTGAATGAAACAGCACACGTGCTTGGAGCATATATATAAGCTGGGTTGATATGCAAATTATTTTGTCAAGGCGCCCTTTCCCCCCCCCCCTTCCAACCCAGCTTATATATATGCTCCAAGCACGTGTGCTGTTTCATTCAGACGCTGTCGCCTCGACAGACCTGGTTTCACCTGAGAACGGCTGCTTGCGTTGTGGCCGAAACGTCGTGAGAATTATTTTATTATGTTTTATTTTTATTATTTTATTACTTCCCTTCTACGTGACTTTACCGAAAGAACCAAGAAGATACTTTAATCTTCCTGCCCCCTTCCCTCTGCACCAATCTGATTTGAATGCTCCGATGCCTTCCAATCAGATGGGTTGTCGGCGGCTCTGCCACTTTTAAACTTGGCTCTGCCTGTGCAGCAGAGGTCGCAACCGGGTACCCGATACCCGTACCCTACCCGATACCCGGCTACCCGTACCCGGCCGGGTACGGGTACGGGTACCCATTTGCGACCCTGGTGCGGCCGGGTACGGGTAAGGAATCAAAACCCATTTGCGACCTCTGCCTGTGCAGTCGTCACGACTTCTGGCTGGCTACCCCCCCCCCCACCCCCGGCCCCCCATTCACAGACATCGTGTTGGCCGCCAGGTCCGACCCTTGCGTGATCAGACATCGTCTCCTGCCGCTCGGAGAAAGCCTCGCGCACCTTCCGCGTGCGGGAGCTCTTCACGGGAGCGAGTGTCGGTCGCGAATATCATAACCCGTTCTGTGCCTCCCCTAGGTCGACTCGGCCTTCATTGGGTACCTGGTACTGCGCGTGTGGCGACGGTCGCACACCCCGCTCTGGTTGGTGCTCGCTACCACCGCTTGCCCCAACGGTCTACAAGAGGCCGCGGGGGGGGGGGGGCATCTTTGCCTTTGTACGCGCGCACGTGTGCAAGTGGTGTGCGTTGTGCGCGCACGTGTGCAAGTGGTGTGCGTTGTGCGCGCACGTGTGCAAGTGGTGTGCGTTGTGCGCGCACGTGTGCAAGTGGCGTGCGTTGTGCGCGCACGTGTGCAAGTGGCGTGCGTTGTGCGTGTGCGTTGTGCGACGCAGGCTCGACTACTCGGGCATCGCGCTGCTCATCATGGGCAGCTTCGTGCCCTGGCTCTACTACTCGTTCTACTGCTCTCCGCAGCCGCGCCTCATCTACCTCGTCATCGTGTGCGTGCTCGGCGTCGCCGCCATCGTTGTCTCGCAGTGGGACCGCTTCTCCACGCCGGCCTACCGGGCGGTGCGCGCCGGTGAGGCCCGGCCAACGTCGTCTTCGGTGACGCCGACGCCGACTGACGGTGATCGCTGACCGACGCTGACGGTGATCGCTGACTGACGCTGATCGCTGACTGACGCTGACGGCGATCGCTGACTGACACTGATGGTGGTCGCTGACTGACACTGATGGTGGTCGCTGACTGACGGTGATCGCTGACTGACACTGATGGTGATCGCTGATTGACACTGATGGTGGTCGCTGACTGACGATGATCGCTGACTGACACTGATGGTGGTCGCTGACTGACGGTGATCGCTGACTGACACTGATGGTGGTCGCTGACTGACACTGATGGTGGTCGCTGACTGACGGTGATCGCTGACTGACACTGATGGTGGTCGCTGACTGACACTGATGGTGGTCGCTGACTGACGGTGATCGCTGACTGACACTGATGGTGATCGCTGATTGACACTGATGGTGGTCGCTGACTGACGATGATCGCTGACTGACACTGATGGTGGTCGCTGACTGACGGTGATCGCTGACTGACACTGATGGTGGTCGCTGACTGACACTGATGGTGGTCGCTGACTGACGGTGATCGCTGACTGACACTGATGGTGGTCGCTGACTGACACTGATGGTGGTCGCTGACTGACGGTGATCGCTGACTGACACTGATGGTGGTCGCTGACTGACGGTGATCGCTGACTGACGCTGATCGCGATCGCTGACTGACGATGATCGCCCGCCGACGCTGATCGTGATTGCCAACTGACGGTGATCGCTGACTGACACTGATGGTGGTCGCTGACTGACGGTGATCGCTGACTGACGCTGATCGCGATCGCTGACTGACGCTGATCGCCCGCCGACGCTGATCGTGATTGCCAACTGACGGTGATCGCTGACTGACGGTGATGGTTTATAAACACTGAAGGAGGTCGCTGACCCGACGCTGATCGTGATTGTTGACCGACGATGATCACGATCGCTGACTGACAGTGATCGCTGACCGACGCTGATCGTGATCGCTGACCGACGATGATCACGATCGCTGACTGACAGTGATCTCTGACCGACACTGATAGAGATCGCTCACCGACGATGATCGCAATCGCCGACTCGCCGATCACAATCGTTGACCGACTTTGAATCTGGGTTTCAACCGCCCGCAGTCATAAACCAGCTCTTAAGCCGTAGTGAGCCTGCTGGTCTTAGCGAGTTGTCGTGGTTTAATTGAGTAGGGAAGGTACGTGACGGGGTCGACCGTGCCGTGAGCTTCCCCTCTGCACCTCTGAAGCGGGGCACTCTCGTATTCTTCTTCCCGCGCATCCGTGCTGTTATCACAGCGGTCGGGAACGGAGGCTCCAGCCTTTGGACCTCGGTCCCGGATCTCCAGATTCGCTGAAACCCGCAGCTTGTGCGGGAGACGCGTGACACGCGCAGCCCTGCGCTGCCGGCGTCGCGAGACGCGGGATCCGTGCGGGAACCCTCGCGGCAGGGTGCGACTCTTTGTGCAGAGAACAGCCCGCGGAGCTTGATGTCACAGAGCTACATCTTAATATCAATTCCAGTGACCTGTGGTCCTCCACACGGGAGAGGGGAGCACTTTCCCACCCGACCTGCCACATGGAGTAATGTTCATTGTGTAATGTGAGGTTATATCCGGGTCGTTGACGGATTACAACTCGTCACGACGATTGGCTCTGCCGGTCCTGGTTCATAGCCAATCGGGGGAAGTCTAGGGGCGTGGCCCTGACGTAATGGGAAGGTGACAGCTGCAAGTAGATGATTGGTTATGCTGGCTTTAGCCACAGCCAATGGGGGGACGAGTCAGGGGTGTGGTCCCGGGAGCCTCTGGAATATTCCATAGAGGCTAACCAGGATTGGTGGAAACGTACCACGTGACCCGGATATTAAATAGGGGTGGAGACGGACGACACGTGGTCAGAACGGGAACGAACGGAGGAAGGGGGCCACGTGGGAGCGGGGCTCTGGGTTGCCACGTGGTCCAGGCTGCCACGTGGTCCAGGCTGCCACGTGGTCCAGGCTGCCACGTGGTCCAGGCTGCCACGTGGTCCAGGCTGCCACGTGGTCCAGGCTGCCACGTGGCTACGTGCGTCTCTCTCTCTATCTGTCCCTCTCACGCTGTCTGTCAGCAGCGCGAAGGAAAGCTGTAATACAAGTTGAATAAAAGACGGATTCCAGAAGTCGCCTCAACGAGCTTTATTACAATTGCATAACACTCCACCGATATATATATATATGTATTTGTTTCAATTCTTAAAGAGATGGAAATCCCACCAAACTTAAGGCACAAATTGAATGCGACATAGTTTTGTACGTCATCCGTTCGCGTCTGTCTGTCTGTCTGTCTCTCCCCCCGGGCAAGGCGTGTTCCTGGGCCTGGGTCTGAGCGGCGTGGTGCCGACCGTCCACTTTGCGGTGGCCGAGGGCTTCGTGAAGGCCACCACGGTGGGGCAGATGGGCTGGCTGCTCCTCATGGCGGTGCTGTACATCACGGGCGCGGGGCTGTACGCCGCGCGCGTGCCCGAGCGTTTCTTCCCGGGAAAGTGCGACATCTGGGTACGCTGCTGATATTGCCGCTGCTGATGCTGCTGCTGCTGATGCAAAAAGCAGTTCTAAAGACATTGGTTTTCATTTTAGAAGCTGCGCTATAAACTCTACAGTATCACCACTTCCTGCTTCTGTTCAATTGCACAAATGTATCTGCAGTCGATCACCACGAGACGTTCTTGATGGACAATAAAGAGCTGGTTTTGATGTAATCCTCATCAGACGCTCACCACTCGCTATAAACACCGAGCAGACACTCACCACTCGGCAGACACCACCCAACAGATGCTCACCACCCAACAGACACTCACCACTCGGCAGACAGTCACCTGACTCTGCACGACACAGAGTAGACATTCGAACTCGGCAGTAAGTATGTACCGTAAGTTCAAGTTCATTCATTAGGTCTAGCCCTGTGAGCCATTCGGCTCTTGAATCGGGTGCAACCGCAACAAACAAAAAACTAAAACATGAACAAGAAAACATCTTGTAGTGAATATGTGACTAAGTGCAAACAGAAAATCCAACAAAAGACGGCAAAATATTGCAGAAAAAACACCGCACACCAACGCTGTGTGTAGAACTTCTTTCGCACCGTGCGTAGCCAACCGTGCTAATCAGAGGTGCGGGGTAAGGCCAACAAACTAAAGCCAGATATCTGTTCTAAAGAATTTAAAAGTGCATAGCACCAGTGGCTTCCTAATATCGCAAGATGGCCGCAGAAGCGAATGTGAAAGCGCCGCGACGTGGTGACCCTCTTTGTTCGATGTCTGTGCCAGTAGACGCCGTCCCCTCGTGCGCGGCCTCAATACGCGCCCGCCAATCAGCGCTTGCCCCTGGGCTACACGAGAGAAACTTTGATTTTGCGTGCACGTCGTGTGCGTTTTCTCTCTCAGTTCCAGTCGCACCAGATCTTCCACGTGCTGGTGGTGGCGGCGGCGTGCGTTCACTTTCACGGCGTCTCCAACCTGCAGGAGTTCCGCTACTCGCTCGGCGGAGGCTGCACGGACGACACGCTCTTCTAAGGCGCGGGGCCGGCACGGACGAGCCGCCCCTCATCGCCGCCGCCAGCAGCAGCAGCAGCGGTAGCAGTAGCAGCCGTCACTTTAGGCGGGCGGAGCAGTGTTTCTGCTCCCCCCCCCACCCCAGTCCCGGTCCCTTTCCATCCATTCCCGTTAATTCCGGACGCTGCACGCTGGTCTGGTAAAGTGTGGCGTCGTGAGGGTGCCGGCTGCCGCCACCGCCGCGATCGGTGGCGGTGGCGATGTTTACTTGAAAGTATGCCGATGAATCGGCGACAGTGCGTCCAATTTTTGACCGTCGATGAAAGCGTCCACTGGACTCTCCTTCAACCGTCGCGTTTGCAGTTCCCATGTCGGCGGTGGGCCCCAGGCGGTAGCCGTGTCAGCGCAGGGGAGTGCACTCTGCCTGTTGTCGCTAGTTATTTTCTGCTCTTGCCGCCGTTGATGCGAACCCGTGCGAAACCGTGCGACCTTGTGCGACCTCGTGCGACCTCGTGCGACCTCGTGCGAACCCGTGCGACCTCGTGCGAACCCGTGCGACTTTGTGCGACCCCATGCGACCTCGTGCGACCTCATGCGACCTCGTGCAACCTCGTGCGACCCTGTGCGACCCTGTGCGACCCCGTGCGACCTCGTGCGACTTTGTGCGACTTCGTGCGACCCCGTGTAACCCCATGCGACCTCGTGCGACCTCGTGCGACCCCGTGCGACCTTGTGCGACCCCGGGCGACCTCGTGCGACCTCGTGCGACCCTGTGCGACCCTGTGCGACCCCGTGCGACCCCGTGCGACCTCGTGCGACTTCGTGCGACCCCGTGTAACCCCATGCGACCTCGTGCGACCCCGTGCGACCTCGTGCGACCCCGTGCGACCTTGTGCGACCCCGGGCGACCTCATGCGACCTCGTGCGACCCTGTGCGACCCCGTGCGACCTCGTGCGACCTCGTGCGACCTCGTGCGACCCTGTGCGACCCCGTGCGACCCCGTGCGACCCTGTGCAACCTCGTGCGACCTCGTGCGACCCTGTGCGACCCTGTGCGACCCCGTGCGACCCCGTGCGACCCCGTGCGACCCCGTGCGACCCCGTGCGACCCCGTGCGACCCCGTGCGACCCCGTGCGACCTCGTGCGACCTCGTGGGACAGGGGCTGAGATGGAAGGGGGCGAAGGCGCCCTGGGCTCGGAACAAACGGCTCATTTTGACGTGCGCCTCGCTGCGTGACCGACCGTGCATTCATTCCCCTCTCCGCTGCCAACCCTCTGGGGGGTGGGGGGTGGGGAGTGTAAACTCGCTGAATTTGTTCAGGGATGGAACAAGCCTCTGACAATCTGGTTTTGGGTTTTTTTTTGTCTCCTTTTTTTTGGGGAGGGGGTCTTGCGGAGCGAGACGGTGGCGGCGTTTAGATCTTCATCCGTTGGTCACCCTTGTCGAGAAAGTTTGCTCTTTTCAGCATTTCATCGAAAGCGGGGGAGGGGGGGCGGGCGGGGGGCTCCACCGTGTGGATTGGGATGCCCACTGGTTGCGCTACGGCCCGGACGTCACCTTCTGAGTTGAGCCGTGCGGCACACGCGGTATGGAAAGCTAAAAGGTGCAGCCCTGCGGCTGCTTTGAGCAGCTGCCGGCAGAAGGGCCCTCCCGCCTATTTCCCGAGAGCCCTTTCTGGCAGGCGCTTGGCCTACTCTTCCATGCTGGCCAGACGTCTTGAAGGAGGTGGGCTTGCGCACGCGCTCTGGCCAACCGCGCGCGACCTGCCGATCGACTCGCCGTGGTGAACCCATTTATGCTGCCGGGTGGATAGAGGTTGGGGGGGAGGGGGGAGATTAAAAAAAAGTAGCCCGTTATTTCAGATGTTTTTTTTTTGCAAAAAAATATTTTTTTATTTTACTGGGTAAGACCCATTGAGCTATAATAGCTCTTTTTCAGAAGCGACCTGGCTTCCACAAATGATAGCCCAATGAAGGGGAAATGTATAGCAGCCAAATACTCTGAACGCACATTGATTCTAAATGTGGAGGTAAAAGCCAAGGGACCCCGAAAAAATCCACGCGACCACGTGGAAAGAGAGAGACACGCTAACGTCATATACAGCAGGCGTTAGGGTCAGGGTGGAGCCCACGACCTCCTGCATACCAGGCGAAGTAGTTAACATCTCCTAGCCACCGTGACGATGATGAGAGAGAGAGACACGCAAACGCCATACACAGCAGGCGTTAGGGTCGGGATGGAGCCCACGACCTCCTGCATACCAGGCGAAGTAGTTAACATCTCCTAGCCACCGTGACGATGATGAGAGAGAGAGACACGCAAACGCCATACACAGCAGGCGTTAGGGTCGGGATGGAGCCCACGACCTCCTGCATACCAGGCGAAGTAGTTAACATCTCCTAGCCACCGTGACGATGATGAGAGAGAGAGACACGCAAACGCCGTATACAGCAGGCGTTAGGGTCGGGATGGAGCCCACAACCTCCTGTAGACCAGGCGAAGTAGTTAACATCTCCGAGCCACCGTGGTACCCCACGAATTGAACCGGCGACCAGTGCATTAAGCCCACCATGGCAGAATTCCCCTATGGGAGTAGAGCTGTGGGTACAGCATACCCATCGGGAGCAATGCCAGCGGTGCTGCTGATGATGATGATGATTATTTACGCTTCTTTTGCCAAGCAAGGCCTCAAGACGGGACGATGTTATTTGCCCCCTTTTAGATGCCCTTCCGCGGCCGTCTGGAACACGCTCCCCCTTCCGATATTAGGTAGCCGCTGGCGCTGTGCACTTTTAAATCCACATTGAAAACTCTTTCTTTAGAACTGTGCTCGGTTTTGCCGTCCTTCCCCCGCACCTCCGATCAGCACGGTTGGATGCGTACGTTGTGAAAGAAGTTCAACATACATACAAACAGTCCAAATTTAGTCAGTCGCAGGTTATTTTGTCCAGCATTGGGATGCTGGGCCAATACTAATTAAACGCGCGCGCGTGTGTGTGTTGTAGCTATAGTGGGGAGCGGTAGTGTAGTGGTTAGCGCGCTGCGCTACAAATCTGGCGACCCGGGTTCGATTCCCGCTCTCGGCCAACATCAGTGACGATTATCTGAACCGGTCCTGGGCCTCCCCTAGGTCGACTCAGCCTCAAATGAGTACCAGGTGCGGTGTGTAAACATCGCCACTGGGGAGACAAAGGCGACCGGGCGTGGTGTTGGCCACCCACCCCCTCGTGTGCCGTGCCGGCCTTTATGAGGTGCTCGCTAACAGCACTTGCCCCAACAGTCTGATAAGGCTATACGGGGGATCTTTGTCTTTGTAGCTAAACCCATGCAGAGCGTGGAGAGAACGTACTAACTCCATGCAGAGTTGGCACCTACATGAGCAGTTGAAGCTAGGCCCTTCTTGCCACGAGGCATGAGTGTTGCCACCCTGCCACCCCAGAGTGCCCGCTGCCATCACAAATAGCCCATTGCCTTCCATCAGTGCAACGCAAGCGTGGGTGGTGGGTGGTGAGTGTGGGGGGGGGGGCGGTGGTGAATGTGGTGGGTGTGGGTGGTGTGGGTGGTGAGTGTGAGTGGTGAGTGTGGTGGGTGTGAGTGGTGAGTGTGGTGGGTGTGAGTGCGTGAGTGGTGGGTGTGAGTGGTGAGTGTGGAGTGTGTGGGTGGTGAGTGTGGTGGGTGTGGGTGGTGAGTGTGGTGGGTGTGGGTGGTGGGTGTGGAGGGGGGGGTGGTGGGTGTGGGGGGGGTGGTGGGTGTGGGGGGCGGTGGTGGGTGTGGATTTGGGTGGTGGGTGTGTGGGGGGGGTGGCGAGTGTGCGGGGGGGTGGTAGGGTACAATTTGAGCAGTCGAGAAACCGTGCGAGCTAAGAGGCTGGTGTAAGCGTGCGATCGACTTGAAATACCGACGACACGAGAGGGACTAAAAGAAAAGCCGTTGCTCGTGGTTTATTTTCTTACAGAAGAAGAAATGCACAGAGCCGCACGTGTTTCTTTTCCCTTGTAAGAATCTGCGTACGGCAGCAGTTGGCATCGCGGGCTCGCGAGGGGGGGCACTTTCCCGCGGCGTTCCTCCTAAACTCCTCTATCGTGCGCGGGCTCTCCCGATCTTTCAGGAACGTGACGGAAAGAAAAAAAAATTAACCCGTAAAAACAAAGTTTTTCACTCTAAATCCTTTATATGCATGGCGGCTAGAGTCCTCTCGTCCTCTGGCTTGAGATGGCTGCCACCTATGGGTCAGATGATTGTCTGCCAGCATTAAGCAATTGGTAATTAAATATTTTTAAAAATTCCCTAAACAGTGTAAAATTTTGGAAAAAAATTTTCACGAAAATTAATTGTCACGCACAACGAGTCTGTGTGGAAAATGTCAGCTCGATTGGATCACGGGAAGTGTGTTCAAAAACGATCGAAAGATTTGCACGTTCGTAAGCAAGCAAGCACGCAAGCACGCAAGCAAGCAAGCGAACTTAATATAAAGGATTTAAAAAAAAAAAATCTCAACTCGGATTCGGTCGAGAGCGTGCTGGCATCCCCACGCGGCAGCGATGTGTTACAAGTAAAACACAAAAGGCATTTTTCATTTCTCTTCGGCGTGAATTGCCGTCGCATTAATTCCGCTCGCTTATGGATTCGAGGACATAAGCCAAGCTCTAGATGTCATATTGACTTTACTAGAAACAAGTATATCCCGTAAAAACAAAGTTTTTCACTATAACTCCTTTATATGCGTGGCGGCTAGAGTCCTCTCGTCCTCTGGCTTGAGATGGCTGCTACATATGGGTCAGATGATTGCCTGCCACCATTAGGCAATTGGTAATTAAATATTTAAAAAAAATCCTAAAAAGTGTAAAGTTATGGAAAAAACATTTTTCACGAAAATAAATTGTCACGCACAACGAGTCTGTGTGCAAAATGTCAGCTCGATTGGATCACGGGAAGTGGGTTAAAAAACGACCGAAAGATTTGCACGGTCGTAAGCGCGCAAGCAAGCAAGTGAACTTAATATAAAGGATTAAAAAATGGGCTTGTGTGCAGCGACTCATGCGGATCGTCGCATGGCGACGCACGGCGAGGGAGACCTTTCATCCAGCAGCAGTGGACGAGATCATGGCCCTGTGGTGACGACGACGACGGGTGACGTCTTCCCGGTCCTTGATTATTTCCGCTGATTTTGCTCGCGTAAGGTCGTCGCGCTGTACACCACGTGCGTCTCCGCGCGTGCGTGCGTGCGACTCGTGGTCGTGGTGGGGGGGGGGGGTCCCCTTGTAAGCGTTCGTGGCTTAGATGCACTCGGCTCCGCCAACCCGTATCCCTGCGTTGCCGATCATTTTCGCTCGCTTGACGAATAAAATGGGTCAAATTTCGATTTAAAGCTTTCGTGACTGCAGGGATTCATCTCCTTGGTTCTTTCGGTAAAGTCACGTAGAATTGAAATAATAAAATAATAAAAATAAAACATAATAAAATAATGATTTAAAGCTTTCGTGACTGCAGGGATTCATCTTCTTGATTCTTTCGGTAAAGTCACGTAGAATTGAAATAATTAAATAATAAAAATAAAACAATATAATTCTCACGACGTTTCGGCCACAACGCAAGCAGCCGTCCT